ATGGTATGGTTTAATTTACTTGATATAAATATTGCTTTGTAATTTTGATTAGCAACTCTGCAAGGCAACTCAAAATGAAGTGCAGTAGTAGTTGACTGGTATCGTTTCTGTGGTTGTGTTATTGCTGCACCTCCTAATATATGAATAAAAATAGGAAAATTGAGATTTGCATTGCACTTACTTGACAGCTGCTGTGCAGACATTGACCAGTTCTTGAGTGTCATTACTTCCCTGTGTATTAAATAAACAGAATTCTCATTAGGGATACAATTAATCAGTTAGTCTGGTAAATTTCAGCAAAAGCAAGCTCTCTGTCCACAGTTGGAAGTTGCTGGGAAATAGGTTGTTACCAATGTATTATTTTCAGTCTCTCCGCTTCTAAATATTTCTCCGTGCTCTTCCTTCTTTATGAGGCAAAGTTCAGTTTGATGATCCTCATGTTTTTGAATTGAAGGGCTTTAGCCTATAAGTCTGTTGAAACTTACAATGCAGACATCTCAAGGAAGATAAAGAAAACAAGAGAGGGAGAAAGAAGATTTGGGATCAGTGAATGAAAAAAGTTTTTTGTTAAGTTTGAACTGTACTTTATAAAATTGTCATAGCCATTAATTGTCAAAGTATAATGAAACGACTACATTCTAGAATATATATGGAATAAATCTAGGATAGGTATTTACTAGTTTGTCCGTAAAATGTGCCTGAAAGATTACAAAACTTGGCAAAAACCGTAAGAAACCAGCAAGAAGCAGCTAAATCAAGGGCACTTGTCTTTCAGAGAATGGTTGCTAGGAACGCTGAAATTTGAAATGCATTATAGTTGCCTGCAAGAATTAACTAGCATATCCAGAGAATTGGTGCCTCATATTGTGAAAATTTCAGCCATCATCTTCCCGCCTAAGTACAATAGAGTTGAATGAGGAAACCGTATGTTTTTATTACTAATAATAACCATATATTTCTATTATGTATTTTATTAATTACTAATTATTATGTATTTTATTTCTCAGAGGTTCTGAGAAATTATCAGAAAATATAGTAAACAGTAATGTATTTTTCCATTCCATCAGAGTGTATTTTTCTTCCATTTAAAGAATAACAAGAAATTTTAGGGCCCATACAAATGTAAGAAGCTAAAAGTATACATCATTCGTTATAAAGTAGGATCCAGCTGGAAACTGAGGAAAATTTCCAAACTAAGATGCCTGTGTATATTTTTAAATATATAAATGCTTCTTGAATACAAATGTTGGATATAAACCAGCAGTTCTCCACTCAGAGAAGCCTCATAAGAATTTGCTAGTTTATCTGTGTGTCTTTTATCTACTTATACATGATGTTTTAAAAGAAACAGTCATTAGAGTGAATCGGCAACCGACAGAATGGGAAAAAATTTTTGCAGTTTACCCATCTGACAAAGGGCTGATATCCAGAATTTACAAAGAACTAAAACAGATTTACAAGAAAAAAACTAACAACCCCATTCAAAAGTGGGCAAAGGATATGAACAGACACTGTACAAAAGAAGATATACATGAGGCCAACAAACATATGAAAAAATGCTCATCATCACTGGTCATCCGAGAAATGCAAATCAAAACTACATTGAGATACCATCTCACGCCAGTTAGAATGGCGAACATTAAAAAATCTGGAGACAACAGATTCTGGAGAGGATGTGGAGAAATAGGAAGACTTTTGCACTGTTGGT